CTTTTTGGCTTTGGCTTTTTGAGTATCATTTGTGTTTTTGTGCATATCATCCTGAAAGAGTGCGGAGATTAGCTGACAACACATTTGGGGATATTGAATGGGAAGGTTTGGGAAAGTAACCAGCCAAAGTGTGGATAGGACCCAACTGAAAGTTGGAGCATTCAGCAATTGAAGTTATCATTTGAATGTGGAAAACACTTGTTGATGAACATTCTGTATGTAGATCGGCCAACAGCTTGTGTCGGTCTAGCTAGTCCAATGTAGGCTTTCCGGATTCTGTTTCCAGGTGGCCATGGGTCCCTCAGAAGATCGCGATGGTGTTCCAGCGCATGCCTACTACTATAGTTTAATGTCCAGAAAAAAAACAGAGCAAAACAATAAGATATTGTCCGATTCCGCTAAATCTACGATAGATAGACCACATCGACAGATACAATTGATTTGAATTCAGCAGTAGGGATCTTCTACAGACCTCTCCAGTCATTCGCATCTCGCAAGGTCATCCAACCGTCTCTCCCGTGGTTCATGCTGTGCTGCACGTCTCTTTGCTGTAAATGCTTAGGCCCTCCGGTAATGCTCACGGGATTTGAGGGTTTAATATGAATCAATCGTCAACAAATAGGGATTTACGGGGATTAAACGGTGATATAAGAATGATAATCAAAGATGGCTAGCTGGGAAATTCCTTATAATCTTACAGAAACAATGTCGGTGTTAGTGGAACCATAATTGAATTGATCGGTTGAATTTCCATTGAAATGGTTGATCACAGAAGGGGTACAACATATTGTAAATTATAAATGGGTATCAAGACATTACCAAGACAGAAATGACACGGATTTATGTTGTTCTTGGAGGTGCAGGGCTGGGAACCAGCTCAGTTTGGGTTTAGACCAGCTGAGTTCGGGTTTTAATCACACTTGTTTGTTGTCTAAATCACCATTTGCTCTTGATTTAATAATTTAATGCCAGTTGTGTTTGGTTAAATCAAATCTTTCCATGGTAAAATCCCATTTGTTGATGGTGAAATCACCATTTTCCATGGTAAAATCACCATTTCTGCTGGTTAAACCATGAGTTTTTCATGTTTGTTGCTTCAGCCCGACCCAACAATCACCTCACCGTCCAAAAGACACGCTCCTCGCAAGGCCAAACCTTTCATCCGCCCAGAGACCTTGGACCTGGAATGAGTGGCTCGGTGATTTAAACCGGTTGAAGCGGTTGCCCAACAAGACATGGGATTTTGCTATGAGATTTGGTTGGTGGTTTAGAACATTTTTTTTATTTTCCATAAAATATGGAATAATCCTTCCCATTGACTTTCATATTTTTCAAGATGATTAAAACCACCAACCAGAGATTGTTGATATTGATGTATTGACTTGTAATGGTGAATTCTAATGGTGAATGGTTTAGTGGGATTAAACCAGCAAACAATGGGAATTTAAACAACAAAAAAAACGTTGTAGAATGGGCATGTATTGGGCATGTAATGGGATATAATGGGGATAATCTGGGTGACATGTAGCCAACCTATTTGGTGATTTAAACTATGTGTCTATATTCAAGTTGACTCAATTGAATGGATAATTTAATATACAACTTATGATCAATGAACTTGAATCAACCGTGTTGTGGATGGCTGTATATCAGCCCCAAAATGGTAAACAACGTTCAATTCGTAACACTATACTTGAGAATAGGATTGAATGTTCTACCCTTTGGTCATTTAACATAGCTAGGGAAAATGGCCCATTCATAGATGGTAAAAAAATATGATTTTCCTTTTGAAAAATGTGATATTTTTTTTGTTAGGTTGGATTTGCTATATTAGGTGATCCCAGTCCATCTCCCATCCTGTTTTAGAACCAGATTTGAGTTTTTTTTTTGGCCTCCTCCATGTTGGAGAAACACAACGAAGCAATCAACACATCTTTACACCTGTAGTCGTGAATGCATGAAACAAATGCAAGTAAGCCAAGATATCTCAAGTTACGCAACTTTAATATTGTTTAATCAAGCCATGTATTTATTGTTTTATAGCTTTGGCTTTCCGCCCCACAAGTCCAGTGGAGAATGAAGGATATTGGGCCAGCAAGGTGGGTTGGGGGGAGCACCATTTTTTTGCCATTGGATACCCTCGTCATCAAACATGGCTATTGAAAATCCTCTATAAATGGTGTGTTAATGGTAAAATGATTAAGCTAAGTGGCGGATATTCCATTGCCATGTTTGACGAATTACTCATGGTATGTGCTATCACTGCTATCACTCTATGATTGTGGTGTATTTGACAAAGCATTGCTCAACTATCATGGCCTCCTGTTGGCAAGTGCCTGGTGGTCCCGTGGGGAACTTCGATGGGTCGATGGGTCATCCGGCTTGCCCTTTGCCCAGAACTGGGCATGGGGCATGTGGGAAACCCATGGAAATCCAACAAAAAAACCTACCATGTGGGAATCATGGAAATATCGCATTTTATCGCATCTTATCGCCAATGGTAATTGATTTTGGGGATGATTTATGACATGGCTTTTACATGGTTTTTACATGGCTTTTACCATATTTTACGACATGAATGGGTAAGGCACCGCCCAGCTGCCCATGGTAGCGCCGTTTTTCCGCCACCCGTCGCAGGTCTCACCGGTCTGACCGGTCTGACCTCGAGAGACTTAATTCGGTCGCGTATCACAGGCGATGGGCGGTGGTTGACTGGAGATGAGTAATCCTGAGTGGAGTAAGATTTGTTGATAATGATATGGTATTACCATTTATAACATTTATGGTACTACTATTTACTAATCCATGATTATATAATACCATTTATAACATAATAATAATGATGATATGGTATTATTATTATATGACTAAACATATGGTATTATTATTACATATATAGGATACTCATTGTTGCTACAGTATTTGTTTTTTAGTTTATTCGTTGTTGTTTTATTGCATTGGATATAGAATGTAGGGTGATGAAGTGGAAACTGCAAAATATACGGTCTCTAAGTTGTTGATGCTGTTGTCGAGGTTGGTCTTTTCTTTTTCACGCATCTGGGTGTGTAATTAATAAGTATGAATTTGCAAATGCACACATATATTTATTTATATACAATGTATATTTGAATATACAGCATTTTCGATGACAAAGAGATATCGGTTTCTCAAAGTCGGTGTATTTGTGTGAGATCTCAGACCCTGTGACCAAACGATGTCACTGGATGTCACTCGTATCCATTCCCATCATGTTGGGATGACGCTTAGTGAGCCTAGAGGGGTTTCCATTGTGTTCGAGGTCGCCAAATTAATACAGTAAAACAATGTAAAACATGGGGATCATAGCTGTTTCACGAACAGACTAGCGTCGTAGGTACCCTGATGTATACAAAGGCATGATGTACATTTGCACACATTCAAACATACATCCACATCCACCAAGGCCAAGAAATAACAGTACTTTTTGTGGGTCAACCAGCCGCGGCGCGAATTCGAAGCAGGGTCCTAAACGGGAAGCCTGCAGGGAACGTCTCTGCTTTGGGGCGTTTTGCTAAACGCAGAAGCCTTAGACGCTTTGGATCCCACAGAAGCCTCAAACGCTGCCGAGTATCGGAGAGTTAGTAAGAAAGTAAACGTTTGTTGTAGCACTAGCTAAGTGGAGCAGGCGAGAAAGATCAACTTGAATCAACCATGAACATCCATGAACCATATTTGCTGGTTTGAACATGTTCAAGCATATTTGAGATGATCATGTATGATGACCTATGATGACCCCCATTGGCCAGCATAAGTAGGGATCCCAAGAGACTAGTCCATAACGGGATGGATGTTCATCAACATTGAAGGATTTTGCATTTTGAAAGTAGTGCCAAAATGGACCATGTCCCGTTGCAACAAAGGTAGACTAAAAAAAGAGCACACGCACACTTTCGAGCAACAAATAGCAGTTGGGCAGTCGGCATTCAAGTCGGCCTGAGGTTGTTGGGAACCCTGTTAGATCCAGTCGGCATTCGCATGGGGCAAAAATGGCCCCCAGGTGCAGTCGACTTCCAGAGCGGGATGATCAAATCCATTCAGCAAATCAATTGTCACGAGTTCTTCAGCTTGGCAATCCATGGGGGTATCCTGGAAACCCTAGTTTACCCAGTTTTTTATTTGGGTATGTATCCATGAATGATTATCATGTTTTACCCAGTTTTCCCTTCATGTTCTATCCTCCCATTGTTGGCCAAGAAAAATCCCGGTATCCAATGGTAATGGCATTCACCAAGTTCACCGTGACTATTGAGATGTGGACCTAAGTCATCCATAGTCATCCCTGAGTCGGAAGCTTGAGTGCTGCAGGGACTCAGGAAAAGTGTGCGGAGGACGTGAATCCTCAAGTTACTTTTGCCTGGGTCATCATGGTTCTAGGTCACCATCCTTCTTTTCAGAGATGAAACATGCAGCGTAACGACTGGTGGTTACATGTGGTTACCCACTGTAACTTTTACAATATGGTTTAAACACGGGGGACTGAAAGGGTGATGCGACCATTACCAACAATGTCATACCAAGAACTTAAACATGCTTAAATCCTTCTGGGTGACGTTTTGCGGGCAAATGAGTGATAACTAGCAGCTTTCTGTGGGCCACTCGATCAGCGAGGCTCTGCGTAGAACTCATGATTACATGTTTGAAACTAATCAAACATGGCAAGTGGAATTTCGTTTTTTTTCTGGGACAGCATCCGCAGGTCAAATGGCATTCCAGGCAGGGCAGGTTACTCGCCGCAACTTTGGCTCTTGGAATGTCCATGCTTCAGCTGGTCAAACGTGGAGGCGCCGGGCTGTTGGACTATAGATAAGAACTTGTCCATTTTTCGCGCAGGTACTGCTACATTACATTCGATATCAACCCCTGCTAAAGGAGGAGTACCTCCATTCTTAATGGTAGGTTACTGTCGGGGGAGGTTACCTTCAATTTTGATGGCTATTTTCGGTGTGTTTGTTCCCCAGGCCATGGCAGAAGAAGCTCCAGAAGATGCAGTCGGGGGCCCTGAAGCATTGGACACCCCATGTGAATTTAGCATTAGTCATTAGACTTGAATGGAGGTTTTATAGTTTAATCATTAATCATGTTTAATAATGTTTTGATATGGTTGCATGATGTTGTATTTTATGATTGAATAGGGGTGATGGGATGATCAAATAAACTTGCCCCTGGTTTTACATGTTGTATAAAGGGGTATCTTCGATATTATATATGGTTACATGGTTTAATAATCATATGCTTCTCTATATGGTTTAATAGGGATAGTACGGTAATTGGATAATCGAATGGCGATTTCGCCGGCCATGTCATCCAACATGGCCGGGAAATTCCTGAACAATGTTGACTACTACTGCAGAGGGATCTAGAACGGATCCTTAAAAAGGGGAATGTCATGTGGATTTGAGTGTCATGCTGTTCTTGGTGTCAATGTGTTTTTTTTTGCATGTTTCATCTTTTTCAGGTTGTCATGCTTTGGCCTGGATGGGGTGCGCGATTTTCACAACCATTGGACGGAATGGAGTCTTTGGGCATTTCACCAGTCAAAGAGTCAAAGTGTGGGATTTACGAGCATGAAGATCTGACTAGCACGACGGTAGCCTCTACACGGGGTTTATGTGAGGCTAAGGAACATCATGATGTTCCACTGCAAGTCCGGACAAAGGTGATGATGGCTCAAAGCAAACATTCTGTGGTGAAGTTGTAAGGACAACCCATTTGGCGGGTGCTGGAGGAAACATATCTCCTGTGAATTGAGTGAAAATGGTTGAGCACGATGGTAGAATGCTGGGGAATAAAACATGGACTTTGATCTGGTTTAAAAAGTGTTGTATTTTTTGTGGAGCCAAGTGAAATGGGTGATCTCAGTTTGATGGGCGGTATCTGTATGCATCAACATTTAAGAACACAGGGCCGAGAGAGATTACAAATAAGCTACAGTTGCAATAGCCCTACTGTACTTGCATGTAATCATCCTAAAGCAAGAGTATAGGTGAGATCCAAGTATGACTGTGCAACTGTGTAGATCAATTTTGTTGTGGACTAGTCTGATTCCACATTTCATCCACTGGAGGATTGTCATGTGTACCCAGCGTACCAAGAAATCGGAACATGCATGCACACACACACAAGTTCGAGAAGAAGTGTTCAGTGAAGATCAACGGTCATGCACCGGCATGTCGGCAGAGGAATCACTACAGATTCTGAGAAGCCTTCACCATGGAGAAACTCATTGAAGCTATGCAGTGCATATGGTCAAACATGTGCTTGCTCATTAGAATATATAGTCTGATTAATAATGATAATTAGTAGTCACTGGTTACTAATAATTAATAGTAATGAGCCATGAACCATAACACAATATGTATATACACATATATATATATATATATCACATATATATATATAATGTGAACTGCTGAATCAACCTTTCTCTACCCTTTGGTAAGTTCACATAACTAGGAAAACTCACCATTTGAAATGGGTAAGGCACTGTAAATCATTTATCTACAGTATATGTAAACGTTTTTTTTCCACAGCTATGTTAAATTACCGAAGGGTAAGTGAGGGCTCAATGTCTCAATGCCCAGTTTGCGAACTGGAAGCCGTGGTCAAACGTGGCAATGGAACATCTTCATTTATACTGAATGTCCCAGCTATACATGATAAACCTCCATTAAACAGCAATTAATCACCATTATTAATCACAATTAATCATTACGACCAACCATGTCCAACCATTATTAACCACTAGCCACCATTAATACCCCATTATAAATGCTGAATGATGATTCTCCAGTTCGGTTGTTGCGGCCTGGAGGCGCCAGACGCCGAAGACGTGGCGGAGGCGAGTCACAGATGTTGGGCTTGAAATATCGAAAGCAACCATAGCCTGGCTGGTTCATAGTAGTCATAGTGATTGATGATGATTATTATTGATGATGATGATGATTAGTGATGGTTGGTGGTTTCGGAACCATGGATTTTTTGACGTTCCATTCAGTTGGGATGATGACATATCCCAACTGACGAACTCCATCATTTTTCAGAGGGGTATATAGATTTCCTCCGACACGGCGATGGAAAGAGAGAGCGAAAATCATGTTCCCATTAAAACTGACACCTGCTATTTTATGGCTACACCCCTCCAACAAAGACCACACCCATTTGGATATGAAAACCAACCAACCATGAAATATGTTTCTTATCATTGTTTTCTGTTTGAAGTTCTGAAGTTGCGATAAACTATGAAAGTATACCTGAAACACCCAAATACAATATTTCTGGCAACGCAGATCCAATTATAGTTTTGCATATATATATATAATAAGGAGGGCCATTTATTTAGGGATTTATTTTTTTTTAGTTTAGGGATTTTTTTTTGGATTTCTTCCTGCTTACTCTATTGCCTCCTGCAGTGCTTCTCTGCTTCTTTGCTTCTATTCCTTTTTTTGCTTTTCTTGCTTTTCTTTGCTTTTTTGCTTTTTTGCTTCCCTTGCTTTTCTTTGTTTTTCTTTGCTTTTTTGCTTTTTTGCTTTTCTCGCTTTTCTGCTTTTCTTTGCTTTTTTGCTTTTCTTGCTTTTCTTTGTTTTTTTGCTTTTTTGCTTTCCTTGCTTTTCTTTGCTTTTTTGCTTTTCTCGCTTTTCTGCTTTTCTTTGCTTTTTTGCTTTTCTTGCTTTTCTTTGCTTTTTTGCTTTTTTGCTTTTCTTTGCTTTTTTGCTTTTCTATGAGGTGTGGAGCAACATCAACAACAACAACACCAACACCAACAACAACAACAACAACAACACCAACAACACCAACAGCAACAACAACAACAACACCACCACCAACAACAACAGCAACAACAACAACAACAACAGCAACAACAACAACACTAACACAACACTAACAACACTAACAACACTAACAACACTAACACTAGCAACACTAACAACACTAACGGTAACAACAACAACACTAACAACAGCAACAACAACAACACCACTAAACAACAACACTAACAACAGCAACAACAACAACAACACTAAACAACAACAACAACAACACCAACAACAACAACAACAACGACAACAACGACAACAACGACAACAACGACAACAACGCCAGCAACAACACCACCACCACCAACAACAACAACAACAGCAACAACAACAACACCACCACCAACAACAACAACAACACTAACACAACACTAACACAACACTAACACAACACTAACACAACACTAACAACACTAACAACACTAACAACACTAACATTAACACTAACAACAGCAACAACAACAGCAACAACACGACCACCACCACCACCAACAACAACAACACCAACAACAACAACACCAACACCAACACCAACAACAGTAACAGTAACAACAAACAACTGTTGGAATGTCAGCCTTCAGCTCCAAAATCCTGCAAGTACTGTGAGGAATGTAGCTGTAAAATGTTGCACATACGGTGGAAATGCAGATTCCAGCTCAAAAATGCTGCAAAGAGCATGGAAAATGGACAGAACATGCTGCAAACTGTTGCAAATACCGTGGAAAATACAATGGAAAATGAGAGGTTCGAACTCAAAACCGTTGCATATACCGTGGAAATGGCAGTTTCCAGCTCCAAAATGCTGCAAATAGCATGGAAAATGGTGAGAACCGGAAATCCAAAAAAAAATCCCCAAACTAAAAAAAAAATCCCCAAACAATTTCCTACCCGAACATAATCATAATTCAAAATTATATATATATATACACATATCAAGTCAGATCGTTTCAGCAAGTTTTTGTGATTTGATACAGGGGATCGCCCAATGGGTGAACTAAGTATGGTTAACCACATACGATTCGTGGGATGGTCCTTGGGTGTCTGAAAATGGGGGATTGTCCACCAACCAGTTTATGGCAACTGTCACAGGGCAAATGACAATTCACGAGTGAATTGGGTGAAGTGATACTTTTTTTAACTTTCAACAAGTCCGTGTAGATATAGTGACTCTACCATGTAGTTTGTTTTTTGCTGTGGAAACCTTGGCTTTTCCATATCTCTGTTACTTTACTTCGAGGTCTAACTGGGTCATGAACCCAATTTGGCATAACTTCCGGTGTTCTCTAAGCTGGGGAAATCTCCATGTTTCAAGGATTGGTTAAAGGGAAAATGTACAGGAAGTACTGGCTTTTACTAAAACCGCAAAAATGGGGGAGGTCCGGTTTCAATGACATGTCCAATTAATGAATCGTTGGATTGATTGGTCACTGGTTTAAAGACAGTACATTTTCCCTTTCAACCAATCCAATGACATGTTTGGGAAAAGAAGGACCCTGGTTGCTCAGGCTGCAGATGCAGATGCAGAGGCTCCAGAGGCCGAAGGTGCACGCAATGTGGGGAATGGGGCGGTTGGTGGATTTAAGCGGCGGAGATTCGGGAATGTAAGTTATATAACCAGCCAAAATCAGGGTTCCATCAGCCGAAATAAGGATGTGATCGGCCAAAATGAAGAGGTGATCATTCAAATCTACATATCAACGGCAGGCATGAGCACAACAAAATATCCTTAATAGATCGATCTTCTTGCTTTTAGTTTTTTTTGGAAAACTCAGGGAAGGAGAAACCATTTCACTGGTTGTATCCCCATGTTTGATATGCTTGTCGGAAAGACAACCAGGGATGGCCCTGTGTGCTGTTTCTTATCCATCTGGGGTTTGTCCAGACATGGATTTAAACATACGTATATGAACCAAAAGTTGCTGTTTTCATGGGAAACAGATGATCAAGCATTGGATTTGGGTTCTCTTTTCGGACTACGGTTGCTGCTATAGCTACATTCTCAACTCCATATCGTCTCATCCACTGCCGGTTGGTGTTTTCAAATATGCTTTTGACAAAAGCCTGCCCTACACACCCAAAATGTTTCATGGTGCTGGAATATATATGACCCACATGTAGGTAAATATATTATACATGGATATACATGGAGCATATGGGATATGTTTTTGACACTATATACTACCCTCTGGTAATTTGTTACATAGCTATTGAAAATGGCCCAGTCGAAATAGTGAGTTTTCCCATTAAACATGGTGGATCTTTCCACAGTTTTTGTATGTTTACCAGAAGGTATAACTGTATAACCTCCATTTTCCTATGGTTTCCCATGAAAAGCTCAATTTTTTCATTGCCGTCCGATGCCGTCCGAAAAACTCGGCAACCGAAGGTGCTGAAGGTGCCGAAGGTGCCGAAGGTGAGGCGCTCAGATCATCTCATCCCGCCATGCGAGGGAAGATGGGGGGGTGGTTCCATGGAAAAATCTGCCATTGATGGTTGGTTTATGATGGAAAATCCATCTGTAAATGGATGATGAAATGGCACACACATGACTTAAGAAACCTCCATATGACTGAAATGACTTCTGAGTTATTTCAGCATACCATGCTGAAACATAGTTAAACATAGATTGTGTACCTCCACCCTCCACTGTCGAGGAAAAAATAATCGTTCTAAGAAGATAGGTCAAACAACCCAGAAAATGATTCACTTTGTTCCAAACATGTATATTTCTGGGAAAATCTCAGCACTACGCTCACGTACACAAAAAGTATCAAAAAGTGAAGTTTTTTGGGAAGTTAAAAACAAGAAGATTTCAGGATTCGCCGGTTCTTGCGTTTTTTTGTGGGTTCTTCCCTTAGTCGTTTGAGTTGCTGCAAACATTTTTCGGCCTTTGTCTCACCAAGGCCAAAAAAATGCAATGAGTCGATATAGGTCAAACTCCGAAAACACCGTTATTTTCCTAGGATTTGGAGGGTCGAGGTAGATTGGCAGACGTTGGCCGCGAAGAGTTTCTGGTGCCAATGAAGCTCCATGCCAGAGGATGGTAATCCCGATTTTTCCAACTCATCCCGGGAAAAGCTGGGAACATGGCCGAAGTAAAGCTTGTTCGCTAAAACCCATCCCAGTATCAAACACTCCCATGCACTGGTGTAAATTGCCTACTAAGCCATGGTTTCTCGGGGGGCGTTTGTTTAGTATTAAAAGGGGGAATGGGATTAGTGACGTCCCTGCCACACTGGGTAGTGAATGTTACAGTAGGAAGGTCCTCAGGCTATATCTACGACTTGGTTTTGCTTAAGGAGATGGTTGATTTCCCCCAGGGGAAATCCACCACTTTTGGTGAATTCTATAGGGAATGTAGTATTTTTTTCTGGGGGGCACCAATCCAAGAAGATCCTGGGCGCCTTTTCCAAGGTGAGCCTACAGAAATAGAAGTCACTCGGCTTGGCAAAGGGGCGCTTGGAGGGAAAGCGGTCCTAACTTGGAGAAGTTGTGATCAATTCTTTGTTGGTAAGAGGAAACAACAACTTTAAATGACAATAATGTAGGTTTTGAAGGGTAATGTTGCTTTGTCAAACTGTATGATTGTATATTTATTACTGTATATATGTATATTATAATATTGTGCTTCCTATTTCCTATCCTTTTTGTAATATTTTCTTGTGGGGACGCCAAGTTTAGTCATGGAAACGGTCAGGAACACTGAGGACTGGACAACAATCATATTGCATTTGTCCCAGTTGTTCAGGCCAAATTTGTTCACATTCTGAATGCAATGTAAATTTACATAATTCCCAAAGTGATGCAATAATAGTCCAAATTCATGATCATCATGCCCAAAAAGATGAATTTCAGCTAGAATATTTGTGTGTTGATGTTGTTCTAAGCCGGGTATGACTATAAATCTACGTTTACTTATCTACACAACGCTTGCTCCCCTCTGATAATCTAATCTAAAGAATGCTATGGAACATAGGCCCTATAGTTCTATCATTTACCAGTTCTATCATATTATCATTTACCATGAATTAATATGAGTTACCTTTAAGAAAATGGTTGGGTTTATGTGGTTTGGACCATATCTACGTAGGGGGGTTGTCCGCCAACTCCAGAGGCCGAGCCGGCAGAAGAGGCGCCAGAAGATGCAGAGGCCACGAACTGCTCAGTTGCGTAGAGTTTTTTGTTTTGAAACAGACGGACATACATAATACATATGCAATGCATATATATATTTCTATACAGAGAGATAGATAGATGGATGGATGGATGGATGGATAGATGGATAGATAGATAGATGGATGGATGGATGGATAGATAGGTAGATAGATAAATGATAGATAGATTGATAGATGGATAGATAGGTAGATAGATAGATAGATGATAGATAGTTGAAAAATCCATGAAACGAAAAACATGGCAGGCCGCCCCGGAGGAAGCCGCTGAGGCGGATGGCTGAGAGTTGAGCAGAGTATTTTTTTCGGAAACAATAGAATCAACTGATAGGTCATAGTTGCTAGTGATTTTGGTGGACAACACTTGATACCCTATAAATGAAATCTGAACTATATAAATGGAATCTGTCATTATTTCAGCTTGATACCCTATCTTAATCAGTTTTGGTCAACCAAAATTGACTGCGAAGGTTCAACATTGACATTTCATTCAAGTGCATTCATGGCGCGTATTGTGCAATGGCAAAGGACGCAACTTCAAAATGAACCTCCATTTTGCCATTCTATGGTGACCTATGGTAGAACATGCTTAGAAGCTTGGAAGCACTTAATTTACACCTAGTTCAGGTTCCTAACCATGACTGCTGACTCACTAGTCACATCTATTCACTATGCAGAACCACAACCATAAATAATAGATTATAGAGTTTCCTGTATGCTTCTAGAAAATTCTAGAAAGACAGTACAAGCATAAATAGTTCCTATGATACTATTCATACTACTCATACTATTCATACTATTCACTAATCATAGGAACTACTATTTATCAGATAATTACTAATCATACTATTCATATTTTTCATACTAATCTATGATATTAACTATGAATATATGGAGAAATGGTGATTAGTATGAATAGTAGTTGATAGTATGAAACGATACTAATCACTAAATTTCTCTATCTTTCTCCATATCGTTTCAGCCAGGCCGACGCGCCCGAGGCCGCCGAGGCCGCCGAGGCCGAGGCCGAGCCTGGAGAGGCCGGAGAGGCCGAGGCCGAGGCCGGAGAGGCGCCGGAGGCGGAGGCGGCACCGTGGGACGGGGATTTTTCAGGGGCAAATTTGGACACGACCCTCTGGTAAACATAGAAAAAACGTGGAAAATCACCATGTTATCATTTTTTTTCTGGGCAAATCAACTATAAATTTGGACGTTCTTTTTTTGTGGCTCTTGATTTATGATATTTATAGGACCCAAAATTTAGGATGTTTACTAGGATCCAGTGGTTAGCTAGAATGGGGAGTAACTACTATATCCAGTGGTTATGAGGGAGCGGTGTAGAGCTGGGGGTATGATCAGTTTGCGGAGTCGGGGAGCTACTCGGAGCTATTTTTTTTCCCAGCCATCTGATATTCAATCAGCTACTAAGTGGTTAAGAACCATATCGAGATCTAGTATCAACCTAGTTATATACAAGTGTACTGATACACTGATACCCCCTAGTTTTATGCTGGTTGCAACCCACCTACTGACTGGGATGCATCGCCAAGTAAGCAGTAAAGATTCTTGGATGTTCATGAAATTCGACCACACTTCACTAAGGAGTAATTTACAGAAAAAAAGATTTCGCAGCGGAATTTGATCAACGAAAACTTGGGATTGTTCTACTATTAACTGTAGTGATGAGCGCCTCTTGATTTGACCAATCAGTAACCTGCAGAATCGCAGGTTCCTGCGGAAGAGCAACCAGAGGGCGAGGCCGACTTGTGCAAAGCATGACTTGTTTGGTGCTGGTTAGGAGGTGCCCCCCAGTTGTGTGTGTGTGTTGCTTTGTTAACCCCCTTACAGTTTCATATATCTACCGCTTATCCCTTTCCTATTTTCCTATTGTTCCCAACCAACAACAAGTTTTCTTTCTACACTATGTTTAATAGCTGGTATGGTTTTGGCTCACAATAGGGAGGACACAAAAAAGGTGTGATTTAAATGAAGACGTCATGATGATATGTTGGGCTAACCTCACATAGTTTAACAGACACATACCCCTTTGTTTCCAAGTGTGCTAGGACGTCTACATCCCCTTGGAGCCAGCAGAAGAGGAGGCTGCGGCTGAAGGCGCGGTGATGGAATTGTTGGTTTGTCTCAAGATTTGGGTCATCAAAATCCCATCATTTGTCCACATCATTGGGGTGGTTTCAACACACAAGACCTCATCCATGTTGTTGGTGTGGGAAATAGCAGTGGCTTTGCACAGGTGTCAAGCCAATGTGAAGTTGCAGACTTTTCAGTTGCCTCGCATGTTGTTGACTCCCCCGAATACTGTAGGCCACGGGGCCATTTACCCCCAACAGAAGGAAGTGAAGGTCAGGGAAGGTCCCACATGCCCGGTTGTTCAGTTTATTTTCTGGATTTGCCTATGGACTTATGGCAGTATGGTGCTGACAGATCATCCTCGCGACTCAAGCCCAAGCCGTTGGTGACACCGCCACATGTTCATCAAACAAAATCCTAGCAACTTGGGGTGGCCCATTTACAACTGGCTTACGTATAACAACCATTCCCAGCAACAAGTCACAAGGAACACTCCTACTTCCTTGAGGTTTGTAAAGCCATTCGAATGGTACTTGGAGCATCGCCCCACACATCGTAACTGGTGAGTAAACCATAGTTGTACCCGTTTATAAATAGCCTCTGGTTATTTAACATATCCATGGAAAATGGCCCATAGAAATAGATGATTTTCCCAGCTATAAACCTCCATGTATTAGGGATTTTCCATGGCTATGTTAGTCATAAGCAGATGGTAATCCATTATATCATGGGGAATTTCATGGTGAGTAATGGTTAATGGTGTATATAATGGGATGATTTCACTATTAACCATTCTTCACCATGAAATAACCAGATGGTAGCCTAACCCACTGAAAGGGGACGCCTCGACTTGTTGCTGAGGCGACGAAAGACCTGCAGTCCCGCACTAAGACCACCCGCACTCAGTTCTGCGGTGTGCCCATCCTGGGTAGCATGTGAGCAATTCTAAATATAACTGTTGATATGTTAAGAAGGGGAACGTACTACCCTTCGGTTATGACTAACATAGCTATGGAAAATGACCCATTTATAGATGATGTACCTATTAAAAGTGATGATTTTCGATGGCTATGTTAAATAACCAAAGGGTAACTGCTTTCTTGGGAATTATTACTAACCATAACAGTGGGAACTGCTTCACCTATGTACCAACCAGCATAATTGGGATGCAATAGACGTATTTTTCATGGCCAATGGGGCCACCAATTTAATAGAGGTATTTTTCATGGCACATGGGGCCATCAATTGGCTAGTACATTGTATGGAGTTGTAACTAGTTTGCAGTCTCAAATGCCCTTATTATGGCTATAATTCAAGAGATTATTTTATCATTACAGCGTGGTTTTAACATAGTACGAGCTTGAACTTTTATAGCAATGATTGTATAATATATATATATATGTGTGTGTGTGCCAAAAAAACATATCTTACACTGGATTACATATGTAGTCATAGTCATTATCCAACAAACAAAATTATGTACCATAGGCAAGTTTTAGAACATAACTGGAAGTTGGCCTCATATGGCACCAAATTCCTTCCCTCTAATCAACAAGAGCACTGCAGCATGCAGACTGGGGCCATGAAGTTAACCCTCCAGTAATTTAACATGGATATGGAAAACCCATGGTTGCGCTAGCAAAGTGATTCCCAAAATGGTGGGATTTCGGTATCTGTGTTAGATTACTGGGGGTAAAGGTTGATATGTTTTAATTGAATCTGTTCAAAGCAGATTCGGCATTCTGGGACAATCGACTCGAACAAGATCAGCGGCACCGTGTTCGCCGTGAGTTTCCTACCGAGGATGACATGCATCATGTGGTAGTATGACGCTCTTCGCAAGACCCAGTATAGCCAATCTACAGCACAGAAAGACCACAGCACCAAACTCTCATAGTTATCCGTTATCCGGGTCTGTTCTCAATTGGATGTCCAAAAACGGAACAAAGCATACACTAATCCCTCTCCCACATATTAACTATCCCTGCTGGAAGAAAAAATGGATCAGTTCTGGATCTAGCGATGTTTGTGCCCTTTCCTTGGAGTGTTTTATATTATGGGGACGGGATTTCCATAGAGATTGACCATTATACATGGTTTCCTAGGCTGGCGAAAAGAGGTGAGCTGGTTGATATAAGGCTTCCCAGCTCATGGATTCTGATCATCGCCAATATATTTTATATATATAATATATATATATATAATATTGGGTAGATAGATTTGGGTAGTATGAGTAGTATGACACATGATTTAATGATCCCATATCATCATCAACCAGCTGACATGAAATGACCAATTTGCAGCCATGGCTCTGACTACAGATGTGTTCGAGGGCCCTTTCACGGTGGTTGCCAGGTGCCGCCACAGGGCCTTTTTGCTCAGTGGCGTAGGGTTTTGAGGCATCAGCCAGGGGATTGGTAACGTCAGTAGTCAACTTTGAGCTCTGCCTATTGCCTGGGGTGGGTACGTGTTATTTTCTCAGAGATTGTGCTAATTTGCTTGGTGTCATCTCAGAGATTGGCCCTTTTGTGAAACGTCCATGTTTTGGCCAAAAAGAATTTCATAGATATATTGTGTAACAAATTGCCAGAGGGTATTCCATAGCTTCACCATTTCCCAGGCGCCTACTGGAGACCTCCGAGATGGTGCGCCTCGCCGAGACCAACAGCGCGCTGCGGCAGCTCTGGCGGGAGCTGCTGGAGGACAGGAAGTGGGGACGCGGCGCCGGACGAAAAAAGGGGGAATAATGGATGAGTTCTTGGGAAAATGCTGGGAAAATGATGGGAAAATGATGGGAAAAGTATGGGAAGTGGTGGTTGAAGCATCAAAAAAGTGGTATAGCAAGGTACAACCAACAGATATAATTAATGGGATTGTAATGTATGGATTAGTCATTGGATTTAGTGGGAACCTAATGGGATTTCATAGGAATCAATGGGAAAATTGTGGGACGTCATGGGAAGATTTAACAATTTAACCAGCATTGCGATTAAACTAAGAGATGGTGAATCAACCAACAGAAAGATGAATATCATGGACATAGAATGGAAGAATTTATGGAATTTATGTTTGTTTTGGAGGGGATTTCACTGCGAAATATGATTTTTCACCAACCATGAAATTTATCGGGGTTATGGGATTTATGAATATATGATGGAATTTAATGGGAATGTAATCGAATATGGATCATCTCTGGCAATATGAATGAAAACCTAGTGACTATGTTTGATTATTGACTTATTGGTAATATTATATCCAGAATGTGTTCATTTGGTAAATATTGATCATCTAGTTATGTTGGTTTCATTTCAGCTTGCAACAATTCTCAAGTGTATCTAAGAATGCGCTCATTGTTGAGTTTATAGAAGCCTACTAGATCCTGCACGGTGTTTACCTTTTGGGGCCATGGGTTGGCCAATGGGAATATCGGGGTGGGTCACGGTTGGTCAAAACCTGGGGTACCAGGCCAACCAACCGGGCTTTGAACCTGCGAAGATCATGATTTGGACCAGCAGCCAAACAGGGATCATGGCACATGAATCATTCCATTTAGCAACTGATTAATAACATTTAATAACCATAGTTACAAGTTACAACCCATTCATATTATGGGATAACCCCCACTTCGGGTTTTACTATCCAGGGTTGCGAACCACTTACTAAGTGGGATGACCCTCAAGTAGACAAGAATAGTGGGAGGCGGAATTATGGAATTATATATATATACATACTAGAGAACCATTATGATAGTGAAGAGTGAGAGGTTGGCCAATGAAACATGCAAATGTCGGGAATAGACGGGCATGGCAAACGTCATGAAATCGCGACTTCCAAAGTTCTTTTCATCCATATCCAAACCCGATCAAACCCAGATCCGCAAAAAAACATCAACTGCCGGCAGATTTGTCAGGAGAAAAAAGCGGAGGTAATCGTTGCTTGAATCAATTTAGCCGCTGTCGCAGTGGTACCTCTTCACATTTAGCGATTTGCTCCTAGTTGTTTTGTTAGTTTTCGATGAAAGACTGCTCAACGTCTTGTTGCCTACAATTTGAAACGGCCATTTATTTGTTGCATTGTTTGTTGTTGAACCGTGATATGTTTAATGTTTCTTGATCAATATTTTCTACATTTAATTTGTTGGCTTAAGTCAACACTAATAAAATACATCACATGCTTTAAATCGTGTTATAGAAAGTAACAACCTCATTGCCACGTCGCTGGATGTTGGATTTGGGTTTCCCAAAGTGACGGAACTTTGCAGGTTAGTGATTAGTGACTGCATACATAGTTTATCCAGACGGTTAAAAAAATATGGCTCAAAAAAATGAGTCATTAAATAGTTATATAATCCCTTCCCCTAATTCGAAAAACAGCCCCGTAGAAAGCATGTTTGATATATTTGCTGCTGTTGATTAAGCATGGTGGATGTAGGGGAAAATCCATCATGTGTTGATCATGTTCCAAATGGGAAACCTGGGTGGAATCCACATCGATTTTCCAGTTTGCCCCAGTGCAACCACTTACCAAGTATAAATAACCACTTGTAGTAACCCCCAAAAAGATAGAACAGTAATTTCTCACTATTGAGTAGGAGTTTACTAAATCTATCTTTTTGCAGTGACAGCGACCCTCTGGTCATCAAATTTGACAATGGACAATTCCCCATTTGCAGATGATTTTTGCAGCTATAAACCTCTATGTTCAAGAGAATTCCCATAGCTATACCAAGTCTGTAACCATAACACACGATCATGCACAATCAAAAATGGTGATTAGCCATCATTAACCATCGAACATGGTTTGCTCCAGATGGTTACACCACTTACCAAGTGCTATTTTTAATCCCATTTCCTAAGTGATCAATAATCCCACAATTTTTAATCCCGCTTAAGTGATGTATTTAAGTGATGGTTACTGCACTATTTGGTTACACAACTTACTAAGTGGGATTCCAATGATCAAATTTGAATTGGTTATTTGATCGGTGATTAATGTCCACCTCTGATTTATAAACGTGCCCCCCCCCCTCTTTTACCCTAAATAGACTTAAAGCCACCATCAAACTTGTTTGTATGTAAAGGTTTTCAATTACCACAATTGAAAACAAATACATAAAATGCAATTTCAAAAAAAAAAGGAATCCAGCAATTGTTTTAGTATTGATCTAGTACTCATGTCATGGATTTAGTATTGATTTAGTATTAATGTCATGGATTTAGTATTGATTTAGTATTCATGTCATGGATTTAGTATTGATCTAGTATTCATGTCATGGATTTAGTATTGATCTAACATTCATGTCATGGATTTAGTGTTGGTTTAGTATTCATTTCATGGATTTAGTATTGATTTAGTATTCATGTCATGGATTTAGTATTGATCTAGCATTCATGTCATGGATTTAGTATTGATTTAGTATTGATTTAGTATTAATTTCTTGATCAGCGGGAGGGGGAAGCTCAGTAGCTTTATTCAGGGTCAAACTCTAATTGGTGCTAAGGCACCTCATGGGGGGTAGTTGAGTTGGAGTTGATTTTGGATAAGTTTAAGTAAAGGTTTTGAATAGAAAGAGCATCCATCATTTTTGACAATTTCCAGCTATCATTTTTGAATAAAGGTTTTGGACAGCCCCATCTGGGCAAATCTGGGTTTAGGGCCAAAAAAAAATAGCTTTATTTAGGGGTAGTTTATTATTTAGTTGGGGAGTTTGGTTAGCTTTATTCAGGGTGGGTTTATAAATCGTAGGTCAACATTATTCCATAAACCATCTTACTGAGTGGGATTCCCTATTTGATCACTTTTAATTAGTGGGATTTTACGGTTCGAATCGAGGACGCTCGCGCCCCCATCCCTCGTTTCTTCGCCAGGACGCTCGCGCCCTCGAGTTGCTCCGCGCAAAGGCTCGCGGCGCAACCTTTGCCTCGAAGGCCATGAATTTCAAGAGGCTTGGCAAAGTTAGCCTCTGGGGATTGGGATTGAATGGATTTTGCCAGCTTTGAATGGGAATTTAATGGGATTTCAGGTGATTTCATGGATTTCTTATGGGGATTTCATGGGATTTACTGGCTTTTTATGAGAATTCAATGGAATTCAGTGGGGGAGTTGGGGATTCATCAGGATCTAATCAACAAAAATCGTGATTTTTAGCCAGCACACATGTGTGATATGTAATAATAACCACAATGATGATTAATCATCAATCAACCGTTTAAATAGGACAATTATCTAATTTTCAATTCGGTCAAACATTTTCCTGTTTATCAGCATTTATCCGTACGGTAAAATATATTACATGTATAATGTACTAGATGTACGAGGTATGTGAATCTTACATGTTTCATATTATCCTATTGACAGATTGCTTATACACTATTGGGGTTCTAAAAATGGGAGACCCTCAATGGAGATGTTTCCGGCGTGCCTCATCTCAGGAAGAGCTGTTTGACGGACGATGACCTGGTACCTCGGGAGTTGGGATGGATTGCCTGTGGCTATCGCTTTGTCCATTTGTGGGTTTGCAATGAGTTCAACCTGGTGGGCCTGATTTAAAGGGACTTTTCAGTGAATAAGTACGTTATACCAGTGACACAAGTTCTTGGTTTGATTCGTGTTTCTTACTGCGGTAAAGCCAGTGATAAACCATCCCCCAATTGGGGGTTTCTTGTGGATGATTTGGGATCATGTAAATCGACACCCGGAAAAAGGGGGGGTTTACCACACTACTCTCCATCCCCAAATAAGAGATTATAATTGGTCTTGCGGAGTTGATTTGGCTTACATTCCCACTGGAAAATCCACTACCGGAATTCACAGGGAATACTACGGAATACGTTTTACTTTTTTTTGGGGGTCCTTAAGCAAGTCCTAGATCATGATTCGATCATAATCCTAGAGGTGACGGCACGACGCATTGGGTCACAGATGGTCCCTGGGCACTCTGCCAAGCCACTGAGAATTGTTTGGTTTCTCAATGTGTCTTAGTTACGTCCCTATTATCGGCCCCAAACAGATTAAACAGTTATTCTCTTCTATGTTTATTGATGGCATCGTTCCTTTTCAATGACTTCTCCGTCAATAAGCACTGTCAGTTTGAGATAGGGAAATCACTGCAACCGTTCATGGTACTTTCTGTTTGTTCGGGGATCTTTGTGTCATGTCCCAATGATTACCCTCAGATGTTTGACAAGACCACCCTTGCACCTTAGGCACTGCTGTGCTTCAGTGCGCAGCAGCTTGGTGTTGGACCAGGAAAATAAGTTTGGGGGGAACATCCCCACTTAGTAACTGGAGTATACCATCCGGTAATCACACGTGGCCACTTGGATCAAACTTGACATATATTTGAGCGTTTTGGTGAACATCTGTGCTTTTCCCAATCCCGCATCATTGAAATCACTCCAAGATAGCAATTTCATTGATGATATGATTGGTATGATGCTTCAATTTTATAAGTAGCGGTTAAGCCGCTGCATCTTGCATGTTTTACAACATACCCCATCAATCTTGGAGCTTTCACCCCGTTTTGCCCATAGACTGAGGGATTTTTGAGCCCGTTTTGATTTTGATTGAAAAACTGGTGTGTTTTTTTTCTTTACGGATTGATGGCTTGTGCACCAAAAGCGTCCAAAAGCAACATTTGGGCGGCACCAACTCTCTAATTTAATTGTTAATGATTTTGGCATGGCTAAGGTCAAATTTCCATTACCCCAGGTGAATGATACAGTCTTGGGGAGCTTCTCGAGTAATCGGCCGTATGTTTGATGATTGCAAACTTTCTTAATTAAACACCAATGAAAGCAGGAAAAGTGGTCGCTTTGGTCCAAGGATGTCCAAGGCTATTCTTAATGAGCAACACTATAGAAAACTAGGCAACAGCCTTAACAGACAATTTATTTTGAGCGTTTGAAGGTCCAGGCATGGATGTGTTTTTTTTTACGGGAACATGTTGTATAGATGGTGGATTTCCAATTGCCCAGTTTGATTGCCCAAGGGTAAGTAACCCCCAAAAAGATAGACATTATGATTTATTTGTTTAGTGGGATTTTAGTATTTTGGGGGTTGCGAATAATATATACACATAAATATATATATATATGTTTATGTGTATACATTATTTAGACATACTAACCCCCTACCACATAGCAAAGTGAATCTTCACTAATTACATCGGGATTTTGTTTTTCTATCTTTGGGGGACGACTGTAGGATATCCACTCAAGATGCTCGCTGGGATCATCCCCAAATGGCCAAACTGTTCAGCTTCGCAAGGGATTGATGGATGTGGGCTACAAGCCCTAAAAGCCTTCGGAGAACATGGTGCAAAGGATTCTCACATCTTTCGATGTGTTTGCCAAGGCAGACCTATACAGTGACAGTGAAATGGCCTCTCAAGGGCCCAGACTTATCTTCCGTGGGTCCACGGTGGCCGCTTGCCTCGCAACGTGGATTTCGTGCTGCAGAGCTCGAAGCACCGCTTGCTACACTGTTCACAGAACAAGCTGATTCTGATGGAAGTGTATATGATCTGAAGAGCCTCTCATTGAAGTGGGCGCACAGCTTTGGGTGTCTCATTGCCCAGGCCTGCTGCGCGCTACGGAAGATGGGTGGTCGAACTTTTCAGTTGGATAATTATTCCACTCCATCCAGACATATGTTTAGGATTGTTTAGGGAATTGGTGATATTTGGGCAGATTGTTGTTTTAGCCATGAACAAATGTGGGTTTAACCGCCCAAAGTTGGAAAATGAATCATTCATCATGGTGGATTCAGGCAAAAACCGTTCCCAGTTTCTGGTTTATAATTTCTTATATATTTATAATTATATATATATATTTGCACTGGCAAAGATGGAGAATGCTTTGCATAGTGTTTATAAAATATACTACCGTATTACAATTTACCATTGCTCCCATTGCTCCCTAATTCGATCCCATGAAATCATCATTCTTGATGGTACAACCTCCATTTTTGATGCTTAGTTTACCATGAAAATCAGTAGAAAACGGGATGATAAACAAAGAGGGTATGAAAAACCATGACTCCGCATAGAAAGTGACCTTCCCATGGCCGGGCCAATATCCCAATTTATCCATCTATTATATAGTTGGTGCCCCCTTGTTATATTAGTTTGTTTCCAACAAAAAGTAACAATGATAGTAGTACTTGCTATAATCCAATTAGTTTGTTTTTAGCTACAGTTAAAAAATAATCTAATGAATCTAAATATAATGATTAGCAACCGTAAATCCAACAGTTGATGTACATAGTTATCACCCAACTTAGCTACCGAATTGGGACGCCACCGTGCAGGATCCCTGCACCTTACAACCGGTTGGTTGGTTCACAAGATGTTGTTTTTCAATTACCATCGTAAATAATGGTAAATACCGATGGTTCATGCTTATAATACTCAGCCTATTCTACGAGCAGCCTTTGACGAGGATAAATTCTATATAGAGCACTAATGTTTATTGGGTTTTACTTTTCTATCTTGAATTTTGAGTTTTTGAGGGTGGCATCATGCCGCATATCCAAGAATTGGATGGTGGGAACATTTACAGGAAATCCCAATTAACTTGGGGATGCCAACCCATGTCCCTAAGTTTGCACGTAAATCCACCTCTTGAATTTCAATCATGTCTCCATAATATCCCAGTAATATCCCAGTAATATCCCATCATGTTTTATCTCCATATGCCAACGAAATCCAACCATTTTATTCTGATAATTCAGTCACCATGTTGATGGTTCCATCACATGTTTTTCTTAAAACACCGTTTTTAAGGTTACCAGTTTTCATGGTGAATTACCCTTATCTTCCAGCATGTTCCCATCATTTTTCCAGTTTCCATAAGTTTCCTCTGAGGTTCTCCATCAGCATGAGCCACGTAGAGGACTTCTGCCTCAACGTCAACGAGATCAGCGACCGAGGTTTTGGACAATGGACGCGGCTGGGAACGCTGCTGCCCTTCAGTGCCTTGCTATGGATTTCTTGATCCACACTAATATTGCGCAAACCATTGGCAAACCATGATTCTGATTATGGCCATTGAGATTATTTATTGTATTCATTATGCACTGCAGATCATACACCATGATTCTTTAGATTTCTGTAGCGAAATTGAAGATGTAGACGTCCGAAGGATTGCATATATCACCATTAAAATTAAATCCATAGATATCCTATGATTATCCCACTATTATCAGCATTAAACTTATTAAACCATGTGGATCCATGTGGATGATATGGCATACTTGTTGGAGCCATCCGCATGCCAGTTGCAATGGCTCAGGGGGTCAGTCATGCCAGTTGGATGTTTGGGTCTTAGTCCCATCAAAGTGTTTCATGACAAGGGTTGCCGTGTCCATACATTCCTCGGTTTATGCCAGTTGTTATTTGGTGTGTAGATAGATAGATAGATAGATAGAT